AAAACACATAGTTGCTTTTAAAAAAATATACAGCTGCATGTTGCAAATTACATATTTTTTCTTAAAAGCAACAATGTGTTTTCTTTATATCAATTGATTCGTCTCATTATTTTATGCATAAAAGTATTAAGGTAAAATTCCCGAAAATTGAATTGAATTTACAAGATATTTTGTATTTTATGTCAAAATGCTGTAACTTTTAAGCCTCATAACTCGAAAAGTACTTAATGAAAAATAACTTCATTATAGTGTTTCGGAAACGTTTTGACACCAGCTTTAAGAATATGTAATAGAAAATAGGAGTTTCCACTTAAGATTTCAAAGTTGACCTTTGCGGTGTCCTTCAAGGTCACATGAAGGTCATTTCAATATAACCATATAATAGACCACTTGATATACTAAAACTTTTGTATTGAACATTTTCTTCCATAATCATTATTTTCCAAGATATTTGACCGTTACGGAACTTTCTCCCATCACTGTATATGCTCCCATTACTTTTCATTTTAGAAATATGGTTAGCGATTTGTTTATCGAAAAACGAAACAATTTCACGTCTCGCGTGCGGACGTTGCAAATATTAATTACAAAATGAGAAAACGATAAAGGCTAGCATCATAATTATTATTCTTAATAGTTTCCATTCTTAATGGATTCTTCATCTTGTCGGCGGCTCTCTCTCCAATCATAATTGTCAATGTTTTCGTATTACCACGGATGATTGTAGTCATCACGGAAGCGTCGACTACGTGTAATCCTATTTCTTTTATTTTTCAAACTTTATAAACATGTATGTGTGTGTGAAACTTTACACATGTCACGAAAATACAGTCACGCTTCTAACTCCAATAGCTATACTAATATTAGTTTCTATAGTAAAGAGTTTTTTTAATTATTCGATATTTTGAAAATTGCTGTGATAAAGCTTATAAATTCTATTGGAATTTATTTTATACAAAATTTTTTTTATACAGAAGCATATCTTTTTGTGTGTACAATAATAATAATAATGCGTATAATAACGTTCTATTGTTAATTCAAATTTAATAAAATAATGTTTTGTATGACATTATTGTAAAATATGTGCTTGATTTATTTTTTATAGTACGATTAAGAGATTAAAAGAAAGGGAAGAAAAGAAAAAATCTGACAATGTTGAAAAATCTTGATAGGCTTCAAGATTTTTTCCTCCTACAGTTCATCTTTGTCTTTTGCAATTGCCCAATCTTCCTTGATGAAATCTGCGCCTCTTTCACCTATCATTATCGTGGGCGCATTCGTGTTTCCGCTAGTGATTGTTGGCATGATAGATGCGTCAATGACTCTCAATCCTCGTATACCGTGAACCTTGAGTCGAGAATCTACGACGGCTGTGGTGTCGCTCTGGGGGCCCATTTTAGCCGTTCCAACAGGATGGAATATTGTAGACGACATATATCGTAGATTACATTTCCAATATTTCTCGGAATCGGGTTTGGTGTGACGACAACCTGTAATGTTCAGATGGCGTAGCAACACTCCCTTTTGCTTAAATGTCTCAGTGTTCACCATTTTCTTTACGAAGTCCAAGGACTTGAACATTGTTTCTAAATCTTCCTGATCAGAGTAGTAATTTGCGTTGATTCTAACGGGATCCGCTGGGTTCTTGCTACGTAATCGCAGCTGGCCTACACTCTTTGGTTTTAACAAAATTGATGAAGGAAGAAGCACGTTTGATTCTGTCGCGATTTGCGCTATGTTTTGTGTTATCTCCTTATCGATGTTAAATATCGGCAAAGATTGGAACACCATGTCCGTACGCCATTGTGGTGCATAAAAATGATGGAACTGAATATTGGGATATTTGGAGGTCGAATCGTGTACATTAATGAAACCTATAACATCGTTGATTGAGCTTACCAAGGGACCTCGACTGTGCATTAAATAGTCGTAAGCTTCATCTAGTATATTTATGGGCGATGGCGGTGTCGCGTTCTCGTTCTTGAAGGCCAAAAGTATGCCCAACCAAACGACGTGATCCTGAAGATTTTTGCCGACGGGCAGATCAACAATATTGGGTATCCCCATTTCGCGTAAATGTTGCTTAGGCCCGATACCGGATAACATTAATAGTTGCGGACTACCGATACTGCCGGCCGAGAGGATCACTTCCTTCGAAGCTTTCACCTCGATCGATCTTCCGTCTTTCAAAGTCACGCGTACTCCGTCCGCTCGAGTTTCCTTCAGCAGAATGCTGTCGACTCGAGTAGACTTCATCACGTAAAAATTACTTCTCTTTTTAATCGGCGACAGGAAAGCTTTCGAAGTGCTCATTCTGCGACCTTTATCCACGGTTCCCTGAGCTATGCCGTATCCGATAAATTTGTCACTGTTAATGTTATCCAGAATAGGCACGTCCAAGTCGCGAGCGGCATCCAATAACATTTCATTTATATGACTGTATGTGTAGTTGTAATATCTAATGTTTAACGGTCCTCCATGACCACAGTACTTACTTCTCCACTCGTTATTATGTCCATGACCGCAGGTTTGAGATTTCTTAAAGTACGGCAAGACTTCTTCGTAGCTCCATCCTTTGTTACCCATTCGGGACCATTTATTATAATCTTCTTCGTTGCCATAAACGTAGAACATGGCATTTAGCGTGGAGGTGCCACCAAGAGCTTTGCCTCTTGGCCACTTGCACAACTTGTTGTTTGCACCGTGACAAGCGAGTTTCTCAGGCTCCACAACATAAGAATAATCTTGCGACGATCCTAGCTGCAGCATAAATGCCCCGGGTACCTCACTAAAAGGTAAAGGATTCTCACCAGCTTCGATTAACAATACTTTCCAATCTTTTATTTCGGTCAAACGATTAGCTAGTACGGAACCGGCGCTTCCAGCACCCACAATTATAAAATCGAATTCTTTGTTAGAGCTCGCAATCTCTTCTGAGCGATCTGCTGGATAAATATCACTACTTAAGCTGCATTGCGCCGTCAGTAGCGTTTGTACCAGATGTATGAACAAGTTGGCAGAGGAACCACTTGCTGCAGTTGCACAGGTTGCAGCCAAACACGCCTCCATAGTTCAGTTGCATACGCGATGATTTAATTCTGTTGTAGAAAATATTTTTTTTAATACATAAAACTATTATAAATTTTAGGATTTTCTAGATTTTCTATCACAAAATAATTATTAGATTCCTTATAAATCTTTTCACTTATTCTGCCAAATATTTTCTGCCACACTCTTATATCCTATAATATTCACTATAAATTACCATACAATTGAAGAGAGAAGATAATTTATCGTGAAAAAAAGCAACTGTAGGGATTTTATGGATGCCGAGATAATAATTATCCTCGTAATTTATTTCGTCTTGCAATCTTGCTGTTTCTAAGAGAACTATTAAAACAAACGCCTTACCGACGCCTTCATCCTATTTAACAGATCCATCTCTGTTTTTTTTATTTATTTAATAATTTATGATAATTATTGTCAAGGAAGGCGTTTCTTATACAAATAAAAACATTGATTACATTTTTTTGTTGATTTACGCATTGATTTTCGCAAAAAAATAATATGAATAATTTATGCTTTTGAGACTGCTTGATGTTAACATATTCATATACAGGGTGTCCCATTTTAAATGACGACAACAAGTATTTCTTGAACAATGCATTTTAAAGAAAAATGTTTCATATAAAAATTGGAGAGTTCAAAGAGGGCAAATAGATGATCTTATTAGATTCCGGGTCTGAGGTCCATGTTGGGCCCAGTAGGGGTCAAGGGAGTCAATTTTTTAAAATGGAAACCCTCATTTTTTACTACAGATTTGAATTCTATGTCTCAAAATAAAACAATTTTGATCATTTTCCTGGATCATTTTTTGCTAAACTTTCTTCAACAGGCACAAAACATTGTTCGAAGTTGTTATTTAATTCATTACAAAATCTCGATTTTTGAGCATACAATCTTAAAAATGACAAGTTCTAGAAAAAATTATATACTTTAAGGTTTAGAGGTGGCGATCTGATGGTTAGATTGAATGTTGGATTCAAGTCCCAAGTTAGGCCCAATAAGGCCTAGGTCGTTTTTTTAAATAAAAAACCCACCAATTTCTTATCACTGATCCAAATTTCACGTCTTTAATTCAAACAGTTTTGTGTCTTTGAAAGATTGATTAGATTTTGGTTCTTAATTATTAGCAGAGTCATAACGCGAGTCAATCCTTATTGGACCAAACTTGGGAGTTGAACCCAATATTCAATCTAACCATCAGATTGCCACCTCCAAACTTTAAAGTACATAATTTTTTGAACCCTCCAACTTTCATATGCAACATTTTTCTTTAAAACGCATTGTTCAAGAGATATTTGAGGTCGTCATTTAAAATGGGACACCCTGTTGTATACTCAATATCAATAGATGTTATGTGTAAAGCTAATTTAATCTTTACGTAACATTATGTGCGTTGTTTAAGGTTGACATACAAAATAATAGTTTATCATTACTCAATTTAAATCACATCTATCTCCTTACTTCACATTGATAATGAGATCTAATAATAATTTCATATCTTTTCACATTCCGAATTTGATTTATATAGCGTGTCTTACAACTATCGCCCAATACTTTACTAGTATATTCTGGAGATAAAATAGAGTAAAAAGTCTTAATACAAAAATATCGAGGCTACAATAGTTTTTAAGTTATAAACAATCAAAGATTGCCAATGATATCCCTAGAACTGGCGCGCTCAGACCCGTAACTACACGTACACGCATACCGATCTGTCAACTATTATTGATTTTTACAAGTCAGATGATATTGATTTTTACCGCACAACTGATTTTATCTTGTCGGTTCTTGTATGCGTGAGTACTACTATCGCGATCAGTTAATATTGTACGTATACTATCGCGATCAGTTAATATTGAAAAATTAATTATTATTATAGAAAATTATAATTTTTTCTTTTAAGTGAAATGTTTAATTTTTTTGAATATAACTGATCGCGATAGTATACGTAATACTCACACACACAAGAAACGACAAAATAAAATCAGCTGTGCAATAAAAATCAATATCACCTATCTTGTAAAAATCAATAACAGTTGACAAATTGATAAGCATGTACGTGTAGTTACGAGCCTGAGCGCGCCAGTTCTATAGGATATTATTGGCAATCTTTGATCATTTATAACTTAAAAACTATTGTAGCCTCGATATTTTTGTATTAAGATTTTTTACTCTATTTTATCTTCAGAATATACTATTAAAGTATTGGGCGATAATTGTGAGACATCCTGTATATATAAAATTGAACCAAACGTTGAACATCAATTATCACGACTTATGTTAGTAATATGAGATAGTCTAAAAACTTTTCGCTATTTATGATATTATAATTATTAAAATTAGGTAACATTGTATTATTTTTGACTGATTATTCGATAAAATAATACAGCAATTGCTAAAACATTGATAGCACTTCAATAATTGTTTTGTGTATATATGGTACTATGTTTATTCAGTTTATTATATATGAATGAATAAAATTTGAAAGACACTTGTTTTCAAAAATAAAATATTGCAAGAAGGTATGAACACTATTCAATACGCTACCACATTTTAGTGTGCATAGGATCAGGTTATAGATTTTGTTGTCAATAATAATGATTTGTGACTTCCATTCACTTTAAATTCTTAATGAATTTTAAATGTAGATAAATGAAATATCATACACGAACGTCATTAAAAGCATATTTATCTTGGTTATTGTTATTGTTATTGTTATATTTATATTATATTGTATATTATATTATATTGTATTTATTTATCGTTATCAAAGTGTTGAGATAATTTCAATTTTTTATGACTTTTCATGAATATATACCCGAGTCGAAATTTAAAACCTACTATAAACCTCATACATGGTTATTTGTGCCTCTAATAATGTTCCTTGACCTACAAGTTCTATGTTGAAAGTGTTATGTCTTCTTTTGACCTTTCTTTAATCTTGTTGTCCTAGAAAACCCTTATTTTTATTGATGTTAAATATACAATTCCTACTTTTGTTCTTACAACTCCTACCTCTTTTGAATCTCCAAATCTTATCGAAATTTCTAGCAATAAAAATATTAATATTCAATCTATAATTGAGTTCAATTTCTATTGTTTCAGATTAATATAATAAATGTTATAATATAAAATAAATAATAACAAATGAATAGTAAAAAATTATTTTTTAAAAATTTAAGTGCAACTCAGTATTATATTTAGTATTATAAATAACTATTTATTCGAATATTTTATTTTAAAATTTAAAAATTTTTATTTTTATTTAATTTTTAAAAATTAAAATTTATTCGAATAAACAAAAACAATTGAAATTCAAAATTTTATTTAATATTTTATTACATATTTGACCTATAATTCGAAATTATTTAATATTCTATTACCACATTTACTTGTATTTAATGCATATCTTAATTTCAATAAGCGCAATACATTAATTATGT